TAAGGTGTACTTGTTTCAGTGTAACTATGCATTTAAGTACTGAGTAATTTTAATTAACTACATGTACTTACTATATGTTTAGGGTTAGGATTGGGGTTTGGCTTAGGGTTACTTGCATGTATTTATGCATCATTTATTGTTATTGTAATAGTAAGTACATGCAACGTGTGTAACGAGGACACCTTAAAATAAAGTGTTACTGTTCTTTGCATTGCTGATGGTCATAAATACATCAGCCGACTGTAAAAAGTCACACGACTGAAAGAGAGTATATTTATCAGAATAACTGAGCATTAGCTCTCTCTGGTCTGCATGTGTTCAGGTTCTTCGGGGCGTACAGTATGGATGTGGTGACCAGCACGGCGTTCAGCGTCGACATCGACTCTCTCAACAACCCTAAAGACCCATTTGTGACCAACATCAAGAAAATGCTGAAGTTTGACTTCCTGAACCCTCTGTTCCTGATCATCGGTAAAGTCTCAACAGAATGTCTCTATGTCTCTATGGGCTGCCATATTAGAACAGTAACCAATGATGAAGGCTACATGACGTTCCAATTAATGAATCAGCACATTAACACATTAATCACCCCATGAGGAGAGTAAAGCATTGAATAGACATTACAAAAAAGTAGCTTTAGAGAGAAACATTTCGATTCAACATTGCATAAAAAATTATAATAAATGGGTATTGATATTTTTAATTGAATATTGAATATTGAAGTCACCGTTTAGAATATTACTTGAGTAAAAGTCTTAAAGTATGTGATATTTATTGTACTTAAGTACGAAAAGTATTTTTTAAATCTTAAACGTACTTAAGTATTGAAAGTAAAAGTACAAGTAAATGCAAAATGGAAAAGAAGCAAATAAAAATAATATATATAAAATTGTTCATACACTGCTTGAGTAGCAAGATTGTGTTCAGTTTGAACTCTTTCTTCCATTTTGTATTTTTGGGTAAGAATAAGAAGCACTTCATCCGGTGCTTAGTGTCTTTCATGCCAACACAAGAAAACATTTCTGGAATCTGCATCTGAAATAGCATTTAGATGTATTTACACAGTTCGTGTATCTCAGAGGGGACATGGATGCATTTAAACTGCAGTTACAGATGCATAAATAATGTTTTGTTTTTAACATAAAATGTTCAATACTGATATTTGAAATTGAAACATGACGAAATGTGAAATTAAAACCGACAGTAGGTGGCAGAAAGTGACTGTTAATGAGTGAGTCATTGAGATTCAACTATTCATTCAAACGGCTGATTCATTCAGGAACAAAGCATTTGACTGTGTTAATGAGTGAATCACTGAATCATTTATTCAACCGGTTCATTCAAACTACTGATTCATTCAGGAACAAAGCATATGACTGTGTTAATGAGTGAATCACTGAATCATTTATTCAATACATTTTAATTAGGAAATGTAGTGGAGTAAAAGTAAAAGTTGGCTGAAATATAAAAACTCAAGTAAAGTACAGATACTCCCAAAAAATACTTCAGTACTGTAACAAAGTATTATTACTTTTTTACATTACAGCACTGTCATTCATTCATTCATTAAATCGTTCATTCTGACGCATTCAGAAACAAACACAGCTTGTGTGAATGAGTCACTGAATCATTCACTCACTCAGTTTGTTAATATATATAGATTTATGCAGTGTAAGACGACACACAGGTCTGGCCTTAAATATAGTACTAATTTAAAACATTATTTTTTCCCCAAACTTAATCATACCAAATTAATAAAAATAATAATAATAAAAACACTAGGCGAAATTCCCACTTGTGAAAGGTTATCCCATTTCATCTGGAATTGATGGCAATGCTGTGGCATCCATGAGAATGCATTGATTTGTTAGTGTGAGTGACAAACAGCATCGCTACCAGTACAGGTTTTTAAAAAGCTAACGTACCTTTTTGAATGTCTTCATTAGCTTTATTTCCTTTCATCACCCCTGTCCTGGACAAAATGGATTACGCCCTCTTCCCGACATTTGTGACCGATTTCTTCTACACTGCCCTAAAGAAGCTCAAGTCCGAAAGAGTGGCCAAGGACCACAAGAAGGTACGACAAACACTTCACACGAACAAACAGACAGATATGAGCCTTTAAATGAAGCTGTCATCAGAGCATGTTCCTCACTTCCTGTAGAAGCGAGTGGACTTCCTGCAGCTGATGGTCGATTCTCAGACAGGAAAACCTGAGCGTGGAAGCAGCGAGGAACACACGGAGAAAGGTGAAGCATCTCAGAGTCCTCTCACGTTCAGCTGCTTTTCTTCCATTGTTGTGTCTGTCTACACCAGACGCAACTAAATCTATCGCAAACCACAGCCAATCAGAAGAGTGTGTGGGCGGAGCCTCTCTGCATGCGCATCGCTTACGCGGTGCAACACGACAACATTTTCAACTAAAGACAGAACACTTTTTAAGTGTTCGGATGGTCTTTACACGACGATGGCATTTTGGGGCCTAAAAACTTTTGATAACGAGCTTCAAAGTGCAAGTTTTTTCAAATGCGGGATTGGGCTACTTTAACACTGCTACCAGGGGGCCCTCGGTTGGCTAGTTTTGAGTAGCATTGGGCGGGTTTTGTTGTGAAAATCTGGCAACGCTGATCGCCACCTAGTGGCCTGACATTAATAATACAGCATCTTTTGTGGAAGCGTGTGAACGGGGAATGTTTTGACAATGTCTATGAATCCAATCGGAGAAAGTCATATACACTTCGCATGCCTCGAGGGTGAGTAAAACACAGGCTGATTTTCATTTTTGGGTGAACTAACCCTTTATTATAAAGCGGAGAGTTCCGGTGCTTGACTCTGATTGGCTGAGCTGCGTTCGAAGCTGTTGTAAATGACTCTACAAAGTAACACACACCTTTGTTTACGTTTGTGTGTTGCTCGGCAACCACTTTGTAGCAACCACAACTGTTTCTGAGGCGCTACATTGTTTGGTGGAAGAATACTGTTTTTATTAATATCTTTACACTTTATTTGCTCTGTTTTATTTTGTGAAACCTTACTACGTATATGGAATAACCGTTTTATAAAAGCAATAATCCCTGTGAAGCCATGGTTTACAGTGAATTTATAACAGCTAAGGGGGTTTTAGCTCCGCTTCGCGTCGTGCCTAACAACACCCCCTAGCTGTTATAAATTCACTGTAAAGCATGGCTTCACGGGGCTTATTGCTTTAATATATCTCTTGTTTTCCTTATGTTCAAGATCTGAGGTAAATGATATATCGTCACTTTCATCATGGCTATTAAAATCATGCAAAAATTATACACAAACTCAACCATTTTAACATCATTAAAAGTACATCTTCAGTGACTCTTATCTTTGTCACGATTCTCGTTTGCTCACTCTCCTTCACAATAATTCACGTTTAATGGCACGCGTTCCTCACACGGTGTCCTGTGCAGGTCTGAGCGACCACGAGATCCTCTCGCAGTCCATGATCTTCATCTTCGCCGGGTATGAGACCACCAGCAGCACTCTGTCCTTCTTCTTCTACAATCTGGCAACCAACCCGGAGGCCATGAAGAAACTGCAGGAGGAGATCGACCAGACCTTCGCTGATAAGGTAGAGCTCGGAGAACTGAGTGAATCTGTAAGTGTGAAGAGTTTGAGAGGTTAAGCTCTGAACTGTGTTGAAGGCTCCGGTGGACTATGAAGCCGTCATGAACATGGAGTATCTGGACGCGGCGCTGCACGAGTCTCTGCGGCTGTTCCCCGTCGCTGGTCGACTCGAGCGGGTCTGTAAGAAAACGGTGGATATCAACGGCCTCCTCATCCCTAAAGACATGGTGGTGATGATCCCGACATACGCGCTCCACAGAGACCCGGATTACTGGAGCGACCCGGAGAGCTTCAAACCCGAGAGGTCAGTCATTAACCACAAAACACAGCACTGTAGAGAACTAGAGCCGGAGAAACACAGACCTGAGTTCACTCTAAAACCCAACATCTCAGTGGTTCTTCAGAGTAACGGCTTCTGCTTCATTCCCAGGTTCACTAAAGACAACAACGAGTCGATCGACCCCTACATGTACATGCCCTTCGGTCTGGGGCCCAGGAACTGCATCGGGATGAGGTTTGCTCAGGTGACCATGAAGCTGGCCATCGTGGAGATCCTGCAGAGGTTCGACGTCTCCGTGTGTGACCAGACTCAGGTGAGACTCCTACAGCTCACACAAAGCTCAAATCTCAATCGATCCATCGTTTATATCGGCACCAAACTATACCGGTTTGCCCGGCTCTAAACTGACACATTTGGATTAAAACCCAGAGTTCTGCAAGTTTTAAGAAGGTACATTTAAGACGTTTTTAAAGGTACTTGGTAATGCCAAGCAAAGACAAACTAAGGAATAAACTGAAGGGAAAAGAACACGCATACAGTGGGTACGGAAAGTATTCAGACCCCCTTAAATTTTTCAACGGCTTCTGCTTCATTCCCAGGTTCACTAAAGACAACAACGAGTCGATCGACCCCTACATGTACATGCCCTTCGGTCTGGGGCCCAGGAACTGCATCGGGATGAGGTTTGCTCAGGTGACCATGAAGCTGGCCATCGTGGAGATCCTGCAGAGGTTCGACGTCTCCGTGTGTGACCAGACTCAGGTGAGACTCCTACAGCTCACACAAAGCTCAAATCTCAATCGATCCATCGTTTATATCGGCACCAAACTATAGCGGTTTGCCCGGCTCTAAACTGACACATCTGGATTAAAACCCAGAGTTCTGCAAGTTTTAAGAAGGTACATTTAAGATGTTTTTAAAGTTACTTGATAATGCCAAGTAAAGACAAACTAAGGAATAAACTGAAGGGAAAAGAAGAATATACAGTGCTTTTATACATTTGCGTACTTTACACAATGTATGCAGCATTTCTTATTTTACTGAAGTTTTTTTGTTCTATTGCTTGTAATTAGTTTTTTATTCTTATTTAATCACTGACTGTTTACTTGTCTTCAGTGAGCTGGAGTTTTTAGGTTTTTTAAAATATTATTTAGGCTAGTATTAGATTTTTGTGATTTTGACACTGGTGAAAAATAACCATATCGTGATATATATATACTGTTATCGTGAAATACAATGAATCATATCGTGATAGTTGAAGTTTTTGGTCATAGTGCCCACCCCCTGCGAGCGCCACAGTCAAATGAATTCAAACAGAGAGGAGTCACATGCACTCAAGTGATCGCCCGAGGGCTGTGTAGAGGTCACCTGCAGCAGGTCCAGCACCACCACGGGCTGCAGCACCTGACTGTAGTGCTGCAGCAGCTGGGACTCGAGCAGCGCCGGGCTGGACATGATGTGCAGCAGCAGAGACTCCAGCATGCCTTTACACACGGGCCGATTGAGCGAGCCGTCCACCACACGCCACGGCCGGCTGACGAACCACACCGACCCGCTGCCGGAGAGAGAGCAGACAGAGCACTGCATCACACAGAAACATCTCAACACAGCCTTTTCACCAGACTTCAACAGTCATCAGCATCGTAAATACTCCAAAGTTTGGAGTTTGTTTTTGCTATTTGAGCAAATGGGAATGCAAGAAATATATTTGTGGTACTCTCCCATTCACTGCTCTCAAAGTTAACCCAACTATGACGAGTTTTGCTGCTGAGAATCCCGCAAATGTGTAAACGGTCTATCAGAGCCGAGCATCCCAGAGATCCGTGGGAATGAGTGTGTGACTCACTTTGTGTCCCGATCAGCAGCTCCTTCAGCTCTGTCTAAAACAACAACAGAAACATCAACACACACACACACACACGCACACGAAAACTAGAGTCAAAACACCTCAGAGTCCAAACACACACCTTTCATCTGAGAGGGGGCAGGGTCTGTGTTAAGCCCCACCCCTTTGTCATCGGACATATGCTGTTCTGAGCCTCCGTCATCTTTATGGACCGCCTCCTCAGCATCAATCTCCATGGAAGCAGGCTGACTCTCAGCTGTGTCTGTGGAGATGGTCTGATTGACAGCTGTGTCTGTGGAGACGGGATCCAAAGCGACTGTCTCCTGTAATTCTGCTTCCACAGTCTGGCTTTTAGTAGGTGGGGGTGTGTCGTGGGCGGAGTCGAGGGCGGGGCTTCTCATTGGGAACGCCTGCTGCATCTGCACACTCCCACACCTGCTCTGTAACAGCCAATGAGATGCGGCCTCTGCACACACCAGCCTCTGAGAGAGAGCGCCCGCCTCCACCAGCTGCTCCCCGTCCACCAGATCCTGCGCGCGCACACACACACACTCTCTCTGAACAGCTGAACCCGCGGGGAACGCTCACTCATCACTGGTTTGTCTCTCTCTCACCTGTATGTACTGCAGGAGTGTTCTGCTCCGCCCATCCTCGGGCTGGTCCAGGTGTATGAAGTGCTCGCAGAGGTCCTGTCTGTCAACACCAAACTCCGCCGCCTCCTCCACGGCACGCCTGATCTCCGTCACCGCCTGCACATCCTGCACTCCGTATCCCAGCACGCTCACACAGCGGTCCAGAAACACCTGCACACCGACGGGAGCCGAGCGATACACATGCGTGAAGAACAGTGGGAGAGACGGAGGAGCGGATGGAGACAGAGCTGAGACAGCAGCAGCATCTGTGCGTGTGTCTGTGAGCTTGTGAAAGCTGAACATAACTCAAATAAAATCAATAAAATAAAATACAACTAAAATGAATAAAATACATGCCATTTTAAATTAAAAAAAAAAAATATTAGCTGAAAAATAATAAAATAATAAAAAATTGATAAATAAAAGAATAAAAATAACTTAAAAATACTTTAATAAAAATTTATAGAGTTATACAGCTGATAAATTTGTAAAATATTAATGAATAAAACCTATACATGCATTTAAAAAAACAAACAAACAAACAGTAAAAACACAAAAAAATCACTAAAACTTCAACTAAAATTAAAATGAAAACAAAAGATAAAAAATAGAAACTGATAGTGATAGTTGTAGCACTAAAATTAAAATTACTGAAATAAAAATGTATTATTAAAAATGTATAATTATTAAGGTAAATTGTGTGTGTGTGTGTGTGTGAGTGAGTCTGTGTGTGTGTGAGTGAGTCTGTGTCTGTGTGTGGGTGTGTGTGTGAGTGAGTGAGTGTGAGTGAGTGAGTGAGTGAGAGTGTGTGTGAGTGTCTGAATGTGAGTGAGAGTGTGTGTGTGTGTGAGTGTGTGAGTGCGTGTGCGAGAGTGTGTGCGTGAGTGAGTGTCTGAATGAGAGTGTGTAAATGTGTGTGTGCGAGTGCGTGAGTGTGTGTGAGTGCGAGAGTGTGTGCGAGAGTGAGTGTGTGTGCGAGAGTGAGAGAGTGCGCGTGTGTGTGTGTGTGAGAGTGAGAGAGTGTGTCTGAGTGAGAGTGTGTGTGTGAGTGAGTGTGTGTGTGTTTGTGCTGACCGCTGCTGCTGAAGTGTGTGTGTGTGTGTGTGCTGACCGCTGCTGCTGAAGAGTGCGACCACTGCTGCTGAAGAGTGTGTCAGTGTGTGTGTGCTGACCGCTGCTGCTGAAGAGTGTGTGTCAGTGTGTGTGAGTGAGAGTGTGTGTGTCAGTGTGCTGACAGCTGCTGCTGAAGAGTGTGTGTGTGTGTGAGAGTGAGATGTGTGTCAGTGTGTGTGTGTGTGTATGTATGTGTATGCTGACCGCTGCTGCTGAAGAGTGTGTGTGTGTGCTGACCGCTGCTGCTGAAGAGTGTGTGTCAGTGTGTGTGTGAGTGTGTGTGTATGTATGTGTGTGCTGACCGCTGCTGCTGAAGAGTGTGTGTGTGTGCTGACCGCTGCTGAAGAGTGTCAGTGTGTGTGAGTGAGAGTGTGTGTGTGTGTGCTGACCGCTGCTGCTGAAGAGTGTGTGTGTGTGTGTGTGTGCTGACCACTGCTGCTGAAGAGTGTATGTGTGTGTGTGTGTATATATGTGTGTGCTGACCGCTGCTGCTGAAGAGTGTATGTGTGGGCGTCTGTCTCAGCTGCAGGTGGACGTTGCAGGTGTTGACCATGATGCTGTCGGTGCTGTTGGAGTTGTGTGTCTGTGAGCGCAGGACTCCAGGTGTGTAATATCCCCTCATCAGCAGGTAATTAGTGTGAGACGCCTGAGTGGGTTTGACCTCGAGCCTCCTCTTCCTCTCGTCATCCTCCTCCTCTTCTTCCTCCTCCAGCACTTTAGTGAGGCTGAAACACACACACACACACACCATCAGCTGTCTTTGGCACATATATCTATAATGAGTCTTTGGTGCGTATATCAGTAACAAGTCTTTAACACGTATAACTTTAGCGAATTTTATCATATATATCGGTAAGAAGTCTTTGGCACGTATATCTGTAATGAGTCTTTAGCACATGTTGTTAACGAGTCTTTGTTGCGTCTATTGGTTACGATTGCTGAACAGACAACTGAAGATTTCAAACGCATTCACAAGCAAAATTCCTAGGTTTGTGGCTCTTAATTTCCTTTTATTAATTAACCATTTGTAATATGTTCACTGTTAATTTTTTATAAATATAGGATTTGTATTAAATCTATATTAATTTGAGAATCAAAATCAAAAATCAAATCTAAATCGAATCGGAACATCTAAATCGATACCCAGCCCTAATATCAGTAGAGTCTTCAGCGCAGATATGGAGTCTTCAGCATGTATATCGGTGCGCGTTAACCGCGTACAGTACCTCTTGACCACGTCACTGTCCATCAGCGTGCTGTCCACCACCACGATCTGCTGCGGGATGCTGATGTCCACAGACAGCAGCCCCAGGGTCATGAGGGTCAGGCAGCAGGCGCTGGCGCCCCCCGGAGCGTCCATGGGGAACTGCAGCATGCCCTGCGTCTCGTCCTCGTCCGTCTCCGGCTGCACTCCCGATGTCTCAGGCTCCTTCTGGAAGGAGAAGCTGTTGGGTCTGTCGCTGCCGCCGGCCTCGCACAAACCCGTCAGCAGATCGAACGCCTCGTTATAGATGGTGCTGGGGAAACGCCACGTGAAGAACCTGCGGCGGACAGTGCTGAACATGAGCGCACTGCAGGCTGTCTGGAATCACGAGAACTCTGCTAAACTCGGTTTGGTGTGTGTGTTACTTGTAGTAGTGCTGTGAGAGCTGGTAGGACATGGGCAGGAAAGGCAGCGCGTGGCACTTCTTCAGGCCGTAGATGGACGTGGGTCGCCGGCGGTTCACTAGCGCACGATTACGACACGTCTGGAAGGCCTGAGACAAAACCTCCTCCCTGTAGCGCGTGTAGAGACAGAACGTCTGACACACAGAGAGACAGACATCAGTGACACGTGAACACTATATCAACACACGTGTGTGTGTGTGTGTGTGTGTGTGTACCTGGAAGGGCCTGTAGTTCTTCATCTGGGCGTTGGTGAGCACTAGTGTGCTCTGAATCAAATTAAACAGCACCAGAACATGAATGTCCTCCTTCCTGAAACACACACGTGATCATTACAGTCCAACATACAAACACAAGCCGTTACACACAAACACCACTGATGAACACAGAGATGATTAACTTGTGTCTGAACAAAAAATAAAACCCAGCAGCACAAGAACTGAAGCCTTCTCAGTCACCTGGAACTTTACTTTTACTTTTTTTGAAAGAAAAACAAAAAAAACAACTAAATAAATAAATACATTTAATAAATGTAATCAATAATAATAAAACTTGATTTAGAGCATGCACACACCTCTTGATGATGTCTTTAGTGCGTTCAGTTGATCCGTCTGCGATAGCGAACACTTTAAACCTGAGAAAACACACACACTTAGACTGAAAGACGTCCACAGAGAATAAGAGTGTGTCAGTGTTATTTACTAAAACTATTAAAAATAGTTTGTTAATGGAAATAAGCTGAAGTTAAATAAAAAGTTAGATTAAAAACTCAATGAAATTTAGAAATTTCATATTTAGAAACTGATAGAAGTATTAAAATCACTAGGATCTAAACCTGAAATAAAAATAATTTAAAGCCATTCAGAAAAAAAAAAAAAAAACAATTAAAAAAAAGCAGAAAGCAGACAAAAGCAGTCAAAAAATTAATAAAACTTCAACTACACTTAAAAATAAAACTGAGAATTTTGAAAAATTGTGAATTGTCATTTAGAAAATTGTGTGTGTGTGTGTGTGTGTGTGTGTGTGAGAGAGAGTGTGTGTGTGAGTGTGTGTGTGTGTGTGTGTGTGTACTTGTTGAAGAGCTGTTCTCTGGTGTCTGGTATGATGACGTCGCTGGAGCCGTAGCTGGTGCTGAACTTTGACCTCAGAGAGCGAACAAACTCCTTATACTCCGCTGCACACACCTGTAACACACACACACACAGTGAAGTTTGAATCTATTGGCACTTCACGAATCAATGTAATTCATAGTCACGATCCAATTCCAAAACAATTCCAAAGTAGATCTTATTTTTTCCTATCGTTTACTCTGTGATGGAAATCCCAAACACAGTAACATCACACTTAACTTTGCTCATTCAGCTCTGCTCAATAATTGAGTTATTTAATGTTAAGCCAGCTTCTCTTGCAATTTTTTAGGGGTGAAAAACATTAAAATACTTTAAAATAGAAACTAATTCAGATATTTGAGACCCAATTTTCTTAACAAAATTCTAAAACTAAATTTGGATTAACATGACAAAGCCTTTTACAGGTATCAAGAGAACGAAACACTTTTTGTGGACGTTCAGATACTCGCTGGAAGGAACTGGCAGCAAGAAAATACCACTTAAAATCAACTGAGATTCAGAACAGTGGACTGATCCAGAATCATAAGAGATCAATGTCTCACCTTCACATCATTATAGTCGCCAGTCCAGTTCATGAATTTGGCCATCAGCTCTTTATCCTGATACATCTCAGCCAGACAAATCCTGAAAACACAAGCATCAAGAGTCTAAACTGTGTGCTGTTACTCTGAGGTCAGTGTTTGAGTCGGTCTGCAGTCATTATAATGAACTGTACATGAATCAGCAGAAGTCTGTGAAATGCGCTTGTGTGTGTGTGTGTGTGTGTGTGTGTGAGAGAGAGAGTGTTTGCACACACACACACCTGTAGTTCAGGCAGGTCTGCGGGTTCTTCATGATGTAGCGTGCACGCCGGCCGACAGACAGTGATGTTTTATCCAGAGATAACTCAAACTCAGCGTGCAGCACGTCACGCACCACCGTCCAGGGCACGAACGGCCTCTTCAGCTGCACACACACACACACACACACACACAGACACACATGTGCAGAGACACAGACACAGACACAGACACACAGACACAGACGCAGACACACAGACACACGTGCAGACACACACACACACGTGCAGACACACACACACACGTGCAGACACACACACACACGTGCAGACACACACACACACGTGCAGACACACACACACACGTGCAGACACACACACACACGTGCAGACACACACACACACGTGCAGACACACACACACACGTGCAGACACACACACACACGTGCAGACACACACACACACGTGCAGACACACACACACACGTGCAGACACACACACACACGTGCAGACACACACACACACGTGCAGACACACACACACACGTGCAGACACACACACACACGTGCAGACACACACACACACGTGCAGACACACACACACACGTGCAGACACACACACACACGTGCAGACACACACACACACGTGCAGACACACAGACACAGACAGACAGACACACACACACACACAGACACACACAGACAGACACACACGTGTGTTCACTAGCAGTGCTGGTGGTAATGCATTACAAGTAATCAGATTACTTTAACTAGTACAGTAATGCATTACTTTTTAATTTAGAAGGAAATATCAGAGTTAGCTTATTTTCTATGACAGCTCTGGTGTTGCCACGGTGACAGAAATCAGGAGTAAGTGCAGAGCGTTGTGTGTGAACATGATCTTACTGTAACTCTAGACTAAATATCAACATGTGTTTACTCATCTCACTGCACACAAACACATTCAGTGCTCCTCACAATCAATAAATGCAAACTCGGAATATTATACAAACCTGCAATAATTAAATATGTTAGATATGACAAATATCAATATATTTAATCCAATTTTATTAACCAGTGTCTTTGCTGCTGACCTTCGATGATCCACTTCAATTCCATTTGTAAAAAAATGTTTTTATATTAAAAAATAACTAGCAAGCCCCACCCAGATTTCAAAAGTAACGTAACGCATTGCTTTCCATTAAAAGCAATTAAGTAACGTAATAACTTTTTTTAGGGAGTAAAGCAATATTGTAATGCATGACTTTTAAAAGTAACTTTCCCCAACACTGCTGAGTGAGTGAGTGTGAGTGTGTGTTTGAGTGTGTGAGTGAGTGTGTAAGTGAGTGAGTGTGTGAGTGAGTGAGTGTGTG